AACCACTAAGATAACTGGTATCACGACAGACACACCAGGCACACACAGTGGTGCACACCTGTAATCTCATAGACCGGGCAGGCCGAGGCAGGAGGATCGCAAATTCTCAGTAACTTAGTGATATCCTGTCTCAAAATAAAAAATTAAAAGGGCTGAGGATTTAGTTCCATGGTAGAATGCTTGTCTATCATGTTTAAGGCCCTGGGTTCAGTCCTTAGAACTGCAAAAAGAAACCATCTAGTTTGGGCTGCAGTCCTTGAACTACCACATAAAATCCTGCACTGAACAAACTGTGTCATTTGCTGCCTGAGGTAGGGCCTAGATCATTGTTATCTCCAGTGTCTAACACAGTTCTTGGGGCTTAGTAGCCACCCAGATGTTCAGTGAACTGAAATAACAGCAATATTGTGATTAATTTTAAAAAAAGGAAAAGTTAACCAATAATTGTTATCTTAGATGCAGGGCTTTCCTCTCTCCTCTATCCTTTGCCTATCCTGTTTGTTTCTTTTTTGGTTTTGGTACTGGGGATTGAACCCCAGACCCAGAGGCTCTTTACCACTGAGCTATATCTCCAGCCCTTTTGTTTGTTTGTTTTTTATTTTGAGATGGTGTCTCACATAGTTACCCAAGTTGGCCTCAAACTTGGAGTCCTCCTATCTCAGCCTCCTAAATTGCTGGGATTACAGTTGTGCATCACGGTGCCAGTTTGCCCATCTTATGTACAAATCTTACTATCAGCAGTATCTGCTTTACTACTTAACAAAACATTCTCTAAATCTGAAAGGAACTGTGAGGTGGTGGAATTAGTAGGATTGTAAAGCCGTCTTACAGAGAAGGAAACTGACTCAGAAAAGTTAAATAACTTGACTCAAATCCCCCTGGGACATTGCCAACCTTGGAAGAGTCTTTCCATGGTGCTGTGCACCCCTCTCCCACCCTCAAGTTCATAATTAGGCCCCTGGCTGCTGGTTGCATGCCTCGATCACAGAGCTATAGATGGTTTACAAGTCTCTGAGCATCAAATCCAAAGAGAGATTATTCTTTTGTTTGCCCTATTGCATTATTCTGGCAGTTCTTAGGGTAGAACATTCAAGAGTTAAAACCAGCAATAAAGATAAAATAAAAGCTAAGAGTCAGTTTTTCTCAATCTATTGCAAACAGATCTCCAAAGATAAGAAAATTGATTCTTATGATCAGATGCTGGTTCACACTGTGCCCACGATTTTATTCACTTTGTTCTGAAGAAACAAGTAATCAGCCCGTTTACCTACCATCCCCTGTGGCTGGACTCGGGGTTCTGCTGCACGGCAGTTGGAGAAATTCAATTCAGCAGACGTTTATCCATGTGCCTTCTCTGTGCCAGGTAGTGTAGGAGGGGCCAGGGGTGCAGAGCTGAACAAGCCCAGCCCTTGTTCTCAGAGTCCAGGGTATTCTCTAGGTCTTTTAGTCATGGCATGCAGTTGTTCTTTAGGGAGAGGATTTGAATTCATTTGCTTTTACATTTTAATCAATTGAATACATGTTGCTATATTTGATGGCTGTAATTTTTAATGGTGTTATACTGTTCCTCCATGATAGGATATGGATTTACCATCATAGCTTAATCATCTACTGTCTAAACTCTAAGAATTTTTTGTGTGTGGAAAGTATAGAAAGAGAAGGATTAACATGGATATTTAGGACTCAGCGGTAGTGCAAAGTAATCTTTCATTTCAGGGGCAGCCCTGTGAAATTTAGAGTTTGATGACATTTCATCCCTTCAAAGATTAATAGGAGTTTTCAATAAAAGCATCAGGGTTTGCACATTTGGAAGTTAACCCAGCCATATCTCCATTCACATTCGTCATCACACCTATATGTCTTGTGAATTTATTTTTAAATACCAGAAGTAATACGCCAGCATTATAGAAGTGAGGCAAATCACAGAGGAAAACAGTTGCCTAAAATGTCACTACCCTGAAACTGAGAGGCACTTGGACCTTGGGCAACTTATCTCTGAAACTTAATCTCCTCATCTGTAAAACTGGAATCATTTCAACTTTATGAGGCTTTGCTAAGGCTAAGAGATAGCACAGAACATATACCCAGAACCCAGAATATGTGTATATTTTATTAGAGCAAAAATAACTTCTTTCATGTGCATGGTGCTGAGGATGGACTCATGCCTGTGCGTGCAAGGCAGGCCCTCTGCCACTGAGCTTCCCTGTAACCCCCCATCTTTATATGATCCCTTTGTCTAGTTTTTCTTTTTTGCAGTTTTTTTGTTGTACTTATGAACCCTCATTTCTTATTGCACATTATTATACGACCATTTTCCATGTTGCTATATATGATGGCTGTAATTTTTAATGGTGGTACACTGTTGCTCCGTGATAGGATATGGATTTATCATCATAGCTTATCCATTTACTCTATTGTGCATTTGGCTTGCTTCCAGTACAAATAACACTTCAACGAACAGGGTTTCTGTTGTTCTTGTGGTGCTGGAGAGCAAACCCAGGGTCTTACCCATGTCAGACAAGCACTCTACCACTGAGCTATGTCCTCAGCCCATTTTTTTTCACAGGGAGGGGCTACCAGGGATTTAACTCAGGGTCACTCGGCCACTGAGCCACATCCCCAGCCCTATTTTTTATTTTATTTAGAGACAGGATCTCACTGAGTTGCTTAGCACCTTATGGTTGCTGACACTGGCTTTGAACACCTGCCTCAGCCTCCCAAGCCACTGGGATTACAGGTGTGTGCCCCTGCGCCCAGCCTCAGCCCATTGTTGATATGTTCCTACTTCCTGGGAAGTCTTAGGCAAGAACTTAATCTCTGTGGCGGTTGCCTTGTCTACTAACTGGAGAAGGAATGGTCTGTCCGAGAGGAGAGCTGCGTGGGTGAAATGGGGCAGCACAACAGCCCGGGAGCAGTGCCTGGTGTGTACCAGATGTTTAGTAAACATTACCTCTTATTTCTCTAGGCTTGCTCACCAGCCATGGGGTTTCTTGATTTACTGCCCTCCAAGGATTTTGGCAGTTTCTGATATCAACAGCAATGTAAAAGGACCAGTTCCTCAACACCCTCATTAGCAGTGATCCTTGGTTTTAACTATGTACTCTCTGTCCCTTTAAAATAGGGTAGCAGCAAGTATACAGCACTTGCCTAGCAGGAGTGAGGCCCTGCTTTTCATCCCCCTCACTATAATCAATCAATCAGTCAAATTGGAACAAAATAACAAATTCATCCAAAGTTGGGCAGCGTGTTATGGTGGGATCTCTTCTGCACCTTCACCTGAACAGTCAATGCCTATGCCAAGGTCAAGTTCCTCAGGGTGTTTAGAATTCTGGTTTTCTGAAACCTATATCCCTTCTGGTTTTCTGAAACCTATATCCCCAGCTGCATTCTACCAAATTATTGTGAAACTTAAAAAACCAGCATATTTTATTTCTTACTGAAATGCCGCCTCTCTGGATAAATTATAAAGAAGAGAGATTTATTTGAAGTCATGCTTCTGGTTCAAGGCCAAGAGACCACATCTGGTGGTGACCCTGCTGGCAGAGTCCCACATGGTGCAGGGCATCACATAGTGATAGGGAACTTATGTATGTCTGTCTTCTGGGAGGCTGCCGGTGTTCAGTCACGGGACCTCCACCCTGACCAACTTATCTAATCCTCATTAATCTCTAAAAGGCCCCACCTCTAAGCCCCAGAATCAAGTTTCTTCCCTTTTAATACCTCCCCAAAGACATTAAACTCCAACATGAGTTTCAGAGGGATCAAATCCTATTCAGAGCATTGGCAGACCTCTTTATATTTTTACTTTTCCTTAAATAAGACACCAGTTGGCTCTAGAAAAATCCATGTGGCAGGCAGTGGTCTCTGAATTCTTCTCCCATCTAGAGACAGTAAATTGGCAAGGATAACCAGTGTGCCCTGGTTTGGCAGTTAATACTTGTTCTGGTGTAATTGTCTGTAGTGCTCTCTTCATCCTCTAAAATGACCTAGTTTGGATAACAAATTATACCATCCTCCTAGTCCCAGGGGCTTCTCAGAAGCTAGGGCATCTGCCTGTACTTGCCACCTCCCTGGCACTTAGCTGTCTGTCCAAGAAAGGTTTCCGCCATATTTTTCTCACTGTGCTTAACCTGGGAGGGTCCAGCTTCCTTTTCTCTCTCTCTCTCTCTCTCTCTGTTCTGGGAATTGAACCCGGGGGCCTCACAATTGCTAAGCACACACTACCACTGAGCTGCACCCCAACTCCTACCAGCCTCTTTTGAATTCACATTCGCCCACTGGGTATTCACTCAAACATTCTCTTTTCCTCGGAGTCTCACTGATGATTGTCAGTAGCAGAGGCAGGCACTTTTCATTTTGTTTCAGAAGTTGCTCTTTGTGCTTGTTATTGATGTTTCAGCTCATTTCATGTCACAGGCAAACATAACACCCCTCATTTCTCACCACTTGCAACTTTTCAGATTATATCTGCTTTTAATTTCATCTTAAATGTAAACCTCTTCTTATTGGGATTTTTAAGACTCACTGCTCTTGCCCTCATCAAATGCAATAAGGTTAATTACATTCATAAAGCTCCCCAGAAGCCCCCATGCAAACAGATCCACAATGAGTGAGCAATGGCAAGGACAAATCTCAAGTGCTAATACACAACTCCTGTCTCCATGAATGGCCACAGGCAGAGCATTGCTTTTAAAATAAAGGATTATAAGTACAGAATCTTCTGCATTAGAAAAACAAAAAGAAACTAGCTTCTCCCTGATGATTACCTTGTGTACTTAGGTAACTGCGTTTTCACTAGTCTATAGGGCTTTGTGATTTGAGAAGCTCTAAATAAGTACCTGTCTTCCTTGGGTAAGTTGTTCACAATTTTAAGGAAGCAAAGTGTCTGGGTGAGAGATCCTGCCAGGCCGAAGCAGGGCAGTACCTGTGTGGGAGTTACAGTTCCTACATGCAAATGGGGATTCTAAATGGGAGTTTATTTTTCTGTCTGTTTTAACTAGGTGACTTTCGGATGGTGATTGGAGAGGATAAGACAAAAGTGTTGAACATTGTACTGCCCAACATGGCGCATTTCCGCGAGCTGTACAGCAGCATTCTACAGGAGAATCCCCAAGTGGTGTATAAAACCCAGCAAGGCAGACTGGAGGTAAACCGTAGGTGGGAAATAACTTCCATTGCTCCTAAGGCAAGAGCTACATGAGGTACTGGGAATTGAACTGAAAAGACAACTTTAAGAAACAGGAATTATTATTATTTTTGGTACTGGGCATTTAAGCCAGGGTGCTCCACCACTGAGCTGTACCTGCTGGTCCTTTTTTTAACTTTTTTATTTTTAAGACGGTCTCAATGAGTTCCCCAGGCTACCATTGACCTTGTGATGCTCCTGCCTCAGCCCCCTGAGTTGCTGAATTGTAGTTATCCACCACTGAGCCCGGCAGGAATTCTTTTTAAAACAAGAAAAGAACAGATAATGTGAAATGCCAGAACAATCATTGCTCATTTTAAGGGATTTTGCCATGCTTGCTTCAAGTTAAAGTATTTTTGTTTTCTGCTTTTTAAATTTTTACTTTTATCAAAATATCTGCCCATGGTTTAAAGCCAAGTGGTACCTTGAGGTTTATAACAAAAAATAGCAGTTCCCTGTTCTGCCCTTCCCTGTTTTCTCTACCTACTCCAGAGGCAGCTTCTTCAGCTTTGTAGCTGATTCCTGTGATATTTACCACCCCCTTCTAAATTCTAAAGGATTTAACTTCTTTCTTGACTGTTTTCAGCTTTATACTTTATTTTTGCCATCCTACTGTGAAGATGAGGATTTTTTTTTCACTCTTACACTAACCCCATCAACACACACATATATTTTTCTCCTGTTTCACTCTCACTTTTCCCCTCTTACCTCACCCCCTCATGTTCCACTATAGTTATTTTGTAACTATTCATTAAGTTAATATTCAGCATTTACTTCATTATGACAATCCCCCCATGCTGGGGATGGAACCCAAAATGTTGTACATTCTAGGAAAGTGCCCTACCACTGAGCTCCACCCCCAGGGCTATGACAGCTTCTCTTTTATTGCTGAGATACAGTATTATGAAATTCCCTTTCCTGTACAACTTGTTTCTCCTGGAGTTAATTGTCTTCCCCCCTCCCGCTTGCTTGGTTTATTTGGTAGAGTGTTTGTGCTTGCCTAGCATGAGGAAGGCCCTGGGTTCAATCCCACCATAGGGGGAAAAAAATCCTGAAACTCTCAGAGATCTATGAAACTCATCTGCTTATAGTCAAATACATTGAGTGTTTTCTCCCCCGGCCCCTTGAGGACATTCTTCCATGAGGCCCCTGTTCTGTCCCTTCCTAGGTTACCTAACTTCTTTTTGTTATCACCCTGAGAATTTCCCTTGCTAGTCTGTCCTTTGCTATTCTGTCTTCTGGATCTTGTATCTTCCTCCTTCATAATTCTGGTGAAGTATGTCTGTTAGTACCTTCTTCACATAGATTGTGAGAGCGGCAAGTGTTTGAGATCAGATACCTCTGATAAATCTATCTCACTGATGGATCATTCAACCAGTAATAGGCTAGATATCGAATTCTAGAGTAGAAATCATTTTCCCTCAGAATTTTAAGTCATAGCTCCATTTCTTCTTTCAGTATTGCATTACATATTTGGTGGCATTCAGATTGCCTATCCTTTGGATATGACCCCTTTTATCTCTCTGACAGTGTTTAGGATATTTTCCTTTTTTTGCAGACTTTTGTTGTTTGTTTGTTTATTTGTTTTGATATTGGGGATTTAACCCTGGGGCTTTGAACCACTGAGCTATTTTTTATTTTGAGGCAGGAACCTGCTAAGTTGCTCAGGACCTCACTTAGTTGCTAAGGCTAGCCTGGAGCTTGCAATCCCCCTGCCTCAGCCTCCCAAGTCACTGGGATTATAGGCATGTGCCCCACACCCAGCCACTATTCTTAACTTTTGTGATGACTTGCCTTTATTTTTAAACACGTCTGTTTTAAATTTATTATTTGAGCACTTGGTGGGCCTTTTGTATCTGGAAAATTATGAAGTTTGGTTTTAGAAAATCTATTGTTTCTGAAATAATTTCCTCATACTCACTTTCTTAGTTTATTCTTTTGGGAATTCCTGTTATTTGTAGAACTCCTGCTTTGTTTTTTTTTTTTTTTTCTTTCTTTTTTTCCTGTTTCCTCAGGTTTTTCTGTTCAGCTTTCTGGAAGAATCTTTCAAGATTGATTGTTTAACTTTTCTACTGAATTTCCAGGTCCCATTGGAGACTCTTTTTTATGACACCCTATTCTTGCTTTATTAATGCATCATCTCTTCCTCAATTCTTTAATGATCTTTATCATAATTTTGAAGTTTTTTTCTTGTTCCCTTTATTTGTCTTTCTTAGTTCCTTTCATTCGCTCATCTATTGTATTAGAGGTCTTCATCAAATATCTGGATGCTTTTCCTGGCCTCTTTTTAAAAAGTGAAGCACTAAAATGAAGACTGAGAGTTCCTTGTGACAGATAGGGTACACCAGCTGATGGGCTTCATATAGAATCATGTTCCAAGTACTTGGCTATTTTATTAGAGGACCCCAAATGTCAGTATCTGTAGAATTTCTTCAGAGAGACATCTAGAGGACAGTGAAGGGTTATATTTCTACATGCCAACTTTTCTAGAAACTGAGCAAAAGAAAAGGATTGGAATTTCCTTTAGTACAAAGCTAAGCTTATTCAAACTCCTCCCTGTGATCTGCAAAAGCAGATGTATGATTTAGTTTTTAGTTGGTTTTGTGTCCAAGGTATTTATAAAATAAATAAAAATTTGTTTTAGTTGTAGTTGGACACGATATCTTTATTTTATTTTTGTGTGGCGCTGGGGATCGAACCCAACACCCTGCACGTGCTAGATGAGCACCCTACCGCTGAGCCACAACCCCATCCCGAAAACGAAATATTTTTTTAAAATATAAATAAATAAATAAAATTAAAAGGTATTGTGTCCAACTACAACTAAAAAATAAATATAAAAAAAATCTGGGCAAGGGATGCTAAGGGATCTGTATCTGCAACCCTACCTCCTGCTGATCAGGGTCATTTGCTCCTGTTGATATATAAGCACCTCATTTCCTGGACTTTCAGCACGGAATTCTAAAGTGATCCATCGGAATTCTAAAGTGATCCATTGCAGTCCTAACTTTAAGTTTAGTGAGATATTTGCTGTGTCTTGGGAGAAGCCATCCTCCTCTGAGAACTGGGACCTTTAAATCCATAGATCTAGAGTTTTGAGATGAGATATACTGATTCCCAGGTGGTCATTGGAGGTGATGTTAAGCAGGTCACTCGGTTCCCAAACCTATGTCTCTGACAGTTGGAATGATATTATGCAGTGGTCATTAATTTAGGACATCTACTACACCATCCCCACAGGGTATCATTGCCAAACTGGTGCCTTAGCTGTTCCTTGGTATCTGTCATAGACCTTTTCAATGTGACCTGCTAAAATTTTAAGCCAGAAAATTATTTGTTGTGTGGGGCAAAAATTGTCCCCCTTTGAGAACCATTGTTCCACTGGGTGGTAGTACAGTGGAGCCGTGATCTGGTGCCCACTGCTGTCCCTCCACTCCTCCTTTTCTCTAAAGTGAGCCCCATGAGTTCTGTCACATAGTATACCATGTTGATGAATCTGAGCCCCATGCAGTGGTACTGGCTAGATTCTGTGGACAGGAAAGGTAAAAAGCTGTCATCCTCTCCTCTCTTTTGGTATTGGGTCTGAACATTTTTCTCTGTTCTGCCTCTAGAACCTAAGGTGGCCCAGCACATCACTGTGCTTCTGTCTTAATGGTGAGAGACATGAGATGCCCTAAGTTAACGTCTTCTCTAGAGAAGATGTCCCAGCATTTAGGGATCAAGACTACTTGACCCGCCAGGCACTGTGACACATACCTGTAATCCCAGTGGTTTACAAAGCTGAGGCAGGAGGATGGTGAGTTCAAAGCCCGCCTCAGGAAATTAGTGAGGCCCTATCTCTAATAAAATACAAAAAGGGCTGGAGATGGGGCTCGGGGGTTAAGTGCCCCTGGGTTCAATTCCCAATACCAAAAAGAAAAAAAAAGATTATTTGACCTCTAAAAATCTCACCTAGGTGGTAGGCTCTGGGAATCTTCATCAGTATCTCAGATCCTCTGGAATGAATCTATCTGCCAAGGCCTCCAGTGTACCTGTTCCTTACAGCTCACCAGGTGACACATTATGTCAGTGATCTAGATCAACATGGTGATATACCGAATGTCCAAATAAACTGGCTTCCTTCAAGTATAACAGAGGGGGCGATTTCTAGCTGTGAGGCAAACCATAAAGTGTACTGTTTTCTGTCCCATGAGGGAGAGCTGATTCTGATCCTCTGACCTAATTGAGATGGAGAAAAGTGCACTCATTCACTATGTCTGTGATCCCAAACACATTCTCATAGTTTTATTGATCTTCTTTTAGAAGATTTACCACATCTGGCATAGCAGATGCTGTTGTGGTTCCTACTTGCTTGAGTTTGTAACAGAGTCTGCTGAAACCCACCGGGCTCTATTTTGTTTTGTAAGGGCCACACTTAATGGGGATATAATGGGGTCCATCAATCCTTGTGTTTGTCAGGATTCTCCAGAGAAACAGAACAGAGAGAGAGAAAGAGAGAGAATGAATGTGTGTGTGTGTGTGTGTGTGTGTGTGGAGGGAGAGAGAGAGAGATTGATTTTAAGAGATTGGCTCATGAGTTGTGGGATCCAGTGAGTTCTTTTTTTCATTACTAGGGATTGAACCCAGGGATGCTCTGCCCCTTAGCTACATCCCCAGCCCTTGTTATTTTATTTTGAGACAGGGTCTCCTGACATTGTTGAGGGCTGGCCTCAGCCTCTCAAGTCACCAGAATTATAGGCATATGCTACCGTGCCTGATGAGGTCTGGCAAGTTCTGAGTTTTGAGACCCAGGGAGGAGTCAGCCTTGCAGCCTTGAGCTAGAAGCAGAATTCCCAGGGTTGGGAGAGAGAGACTTTAGCCTTTTCTCTTAAGTCCTTCAACTGATTGGATGAGGCCTATCCATAATCACAGAGGGTAATCAACTCTACTCAAAGTTGACTGATTTAAATGTTGTTTGCATCTTAAAAATACCTTCCACTCAACATCTAGACTGGTGTTGAACTCAGCAGCTGAACACTACAGCCCAGCCCAAGGAAACACAAAATTAGCCACCACATCCTTGAGGGCTGCAGCTGGTACTAATCACTGCCATCTCTCCCGGGGTGATGTTTTATTTTTTCTTTACTCTTTTGGCCAGCAGAGAGAGTGTCAACTTCAGAGACTTCCACTTGGTCTTCTGCACTGTGGCAGCTCCAGAATTCCATCTTGGAGTCTGCCTGCGAGGACCACCCCTGGCACCAGTTGTGTAAGGTCCAGATTGGGTAGATTTGCTAAAAAAGGCTTCTGATCCTGCGGTGGTGCTTGGGAGCCAGAGGGCCCCTCAGAGTTGTCCCAGCTTGACTCAGAGGCTAGGCCTTTGTACTCTGGCATTGTCCAGTTATTGGATACAGGCAACTCCCTTTGGCTGGAGACAGTTCTAAGAAGGACTCCGGGAGGGGGACTTGGCTGACTTTCCCAGTACCTTGGTCCACCTCAGATCCGGGTGGTGTGCCACAGTGTCCACTATCACAGGACTCTGTCTGCTTTTTTAAACATGAGTTTTATTGATGTATTTTTTATGTAACATAAAATTGAACCCAGAGGCACTGTACCACTGAGCCATGCCCACCACCCTTTTTTATTTTTTATTCTGAGACAGGGTCTTGCTAAGTTGTCCAGGCTGGCCTAGAACTTGAGATCTTCCTGCCTTAGCCTCCTGAGTCGCTGGGATTATAGTTGTACACAAATTCATTGGCCTTTATTATATTCACAGAGTTATGCAGCCATCACCACAGTCTAATTTTAGGACATTTCCATCACTCTGTACAGAAACCCATACCCATTAGTAATCCCCAGCTTTCATCTCTCCCAGGCAACTGTTAATCTACTTTCTGTCTCTATGGATTGGCCTACTCTTCATATAAATGGGCACTTCATATAAATGGAATCATACAATATGTAGCCTTTTTTATATCTACTTTTAAAATGTATTTTGACTTTCACAACTGCTTTCACTTTCACACTTTAATGAGAATCTAAAAATAAAAAGAATCATTTTACCAATTTATTTGAACATGTCACCTAATAATTTTTCTTTAAATACAATTTCAAATAAAAATTCCAGTGCATTCTTTTCCTCAAGAGAAAGCATTGGCAAACACTATTTTCTAATTCCTCACATTACTCAAGCCATTTTGGCATTTCTAAAATTCCTAGAATCTATATTTCATTGCCAAAGCATAACTTAAATATAATATCCTTTTGACCTATTTCAATACATGGCTCCAAAACAAGAATCTATGAAAATCATTTATAGGATATTCTATAGAAATAGGAACTTTTTTTGTCATCTGTATAGCCAATGCTACGTAAAGGTGGAACCTATGAATGTAGAACAATCCTATTAATAAATATGAGGTATTTAGATTTTGTAAAAAACACTTGTGTATCTTTAATGGAGCCACTAATGGCATTTCCTTCTTCTTTGCATAGATTTTTTTTTTAATTTTTTATTGTTGGTTGTTCAAAACATTACATAGTTCTTGATATATCATATTTCACACTTTGATTCAAGTGGGTTATGAACTCCCATTTTTACCCCGTATACAGATTGCAGAATCACATCAGTTACACATCCATTGATTTACATATTGCCATACTAGTGTCTGTTGTATTCTGCTGCCTTTCCTATCCTCTACTATCCCCCCTCCCCTCCCCTCCCCTCCCCTCTTCTCTCTCTACCCCCTCTACTGTCATTCATTTGTCCCCCTTGTATTATTTTTCCCTTTCCCCTCACTTCCTCTTGTATGTACTGCATAGATTTTTTTTTAAACAAAACTAGAAAATTCAGGCATTTAATATATGTAGACTTAATAAATATTTGTTGGGTTAGGGTTGTAGCTCAGTGGTAGAGCACTTGCCTCACATGCTGGGAGTCTCCTTCTAGGACCGCCCCTGGCACCAGTTGTGTAAGGTCCAGACTGGGCAGATTTGCTAAAAAATCTCATGGGTTCAATCCTCAGCATCACATAAAAATAAACAAATAAAAGATATTGTGTCCATCTACAACTAAAAAAATATTTTTAAAAAGTAAAATAAAATAAATATTTGTTGAATGAAAAATATAATAGAATGAGTGAATTCTAATTATTAAGAAAATTGATCAAAGTTAGAAAACCTGAATCTAAAATTTCATCCATTTATTTGTCCAGTTTTTTTTTTGTTTTTTAACTATTCTCTTAAATAAGTTAAGGCCCAAACATTTTTTAAAAGAATATAACAGAAATTCCTATTTAGAAAATAATGTGGTGGGGGTTGCATTTGAGCGCTCGCCTAGCATGTGTGAGGCACTGGGTTCAATCCCTCAGCACTACACTAAATAAAGGTATTGTGTCCATCTACAACTGAATATATATATATATATATATATATATATTTTTTTTTTTTTTTTTTTTTTTAAATAAAATTACATGCTGTGCTGCTTGGGGCAGCATTGCTGATTCTCCTCTTGGCAGGCAAGCAGTGTTTACATGTAGACTTTCTAAAAATGTAATTCCATGAAGCACAGTAAAGTGTAATGGTGAAGCTGGTCTGGTCACAGTCCTTTGACTACCTTTTGATTCAGTGGTTTCCAGGAAGAGTCTAATGTGTAGTTTCATATGTTTTATTCATGTATCTTTCACAGTGTACTTTAGAACTCATTAGGAATAGAGCCACTCACATTGCTCACTCTTATTTACCAAGTGACAACAGCTAAGTTATATTGATTCATTTATTCATTCCCTCATTCACCCAGTATATTTCGAGTACCTACTAAGTGCCAGGAGATTAAAAGTGAATATTAGTCTTCCTCATCAGTATATTCCTGCAGTTTGTGAAGTCCAACGTGGTATGTAAAAGTCTATAAGGACAAGAGGCACAAATTCGTGTGATCCAGTGATGTTAACTCAAGGCCTCATTTAACATGGGAAGATGATCTAAGTGCCCTGGTTTTATAGGTATTTGTTACCTGTAGCCCACCTTTTGTAACCACTAGAGACAAATAGAAATTTTAACTGAAAGTCAGAAACTCATCCTTAAAAGAGGCTTCTCTTCTTTTCTTTTGTCAAAATAGAATATTATAGGAAAAGAATTGTTCTTTTTGAAGGGACTTGGGACTCTAAACACAAAGACATTGAGTTTCAGAAAGAAGAGAATTTCCCTAGCATGCTGCCTAGGTTAGGTGTGGGTGCTTATTGTTTGTGTGATTTGATTTGATTTTACTTTATTTTTAACAGAAGAAAAAAACCCACTTAATTACATATGTATGCATGGGAGCCCCACATAATATGAGATCCCTGTTTTTGTTATTTTAAATAGAAGCCATGTGTCTCTGAATATTTATAGAATTCAAAGCACTTCCATAGACATCATCTCTCTCTTTCTTCCCCCCTCAGATAGATAAAAGCCCAGAAGGACAATTCACTCAGCTGATGACATTGCCCAAAACCTTACAGCAACGAATAAATCACATTATGGATCCTCCAGGAAAAAACAGAGATGTGGAAGAAACTTTACTCCAACTTGCTCATGATCCTGACTGTGGTGATGTGGTGCGGCTGGGTATGTTTGTGTTTGAGGCGAGGAAGTGCTAGCTATAGTTAAAGCAGGCCTTGTGTACAGTGGAGATGTATTATTTCTTCCTTCTTCCCCAGGAGATTGAGAGAGAGATTGCCTCAGGGAAGAAGAAAAGCTCCAACACTTTCGGGTTTTTCCCAATCTACATTTTCATTGGCTTGAAATAAGGTGGTGGAAATCCTTTTTCAGATTTCTATATCCCAAATCACTGTCAAAGGGAGAAGACGCACTGCTTTTGGTCCCAAGAGCATAACTTCTAGAAGTTGTTTAAAAGATGGGCCTGTGTTCTCCATGGTGGTCTAAGAAGGAAGGAGACTGGTGACATTTTTAATGTTTTCATAATATCACACCAGCTGGGACACAGCTCTCCCCAGCCACCTCCCACTGGATGTGTCTCAGTCTGTGTTCAGCAGGTTCCTTTTGGCATGGCCCACATTTCACAGCATCATCCCCAGGGCCTCCCCAATTGTCAGAAAAAATCAGAAACTTCAGAGATCTACTTCCCCAGAGGTGGTAAAGGTAATTTACGAGGTCAGCCAGTAAAGAAATAATTACAAATTGAGAATGTCTCTCAAATGAGTGCCTCCTCTTCTTATCATTTATTGAGCTTTTAGTGAGCCCTCCCAGGTGCAGGCCTCCCTGCTAGATGTAATTCACAATCACAGTGCTGAACACTGCTGTCCTGGGTGGCTCCTCGCTCTCCAGCAGGACCTGCCCAGGTTTTCAGAGCACACATTTTTATGCTCCCTGCTGCAAAGTTCTGAGGCCCATTGTTGTTGTTTGTTTTAACGTGTCCTAGTAACAGTCTGACCTCTGCTGCTGCTTTGAAGGGATGGAAGACTTGTACTGTGGCTCCTCACTTGAATACACTCTACATGTGTTTTCATGATGGGGAGTTTTCTCCTAGATTAAAAAAAAAAAAAAAAAAGAAAGAAAGAAAAAGAAAATACACACACAAAAAAAAAAACTTGGGTTTTTTTTTGTTTGTTTTATTTTGATCTTTTCACATTTTGGAATTGAAAACCAAAAACCTTACATGGACTGAAATTAGTAAAATGGCCTTTGAGGGTTCCCTGCCCTCCATCTCTTGTTTTAAGGTGAGGTGGCCTGGGCCCAGAGCAGTTCAGTCATTTGCCTGAGCTCACACAGCTGGGCAGTGCCAGAGCTGGCCCCTCCAGAGTCCTGGCCCTCAGTCATGATGCCCTTTTCACTGCCACTCTGTGGCAGCAGAAGAGCTGGATTTGCTGCTTTTACTGGATAACTAGAAAGAATATTTAGTTTCAGGTTTTAAAACTGTTAAGATAACTAACATCTGTTTTCAGTTTTCTTGGTGTCCTGTTTGTTTTTTTCTCACAGGGCTTTCAGCAATCGTGAGACCTTCCAGTATAAGACAGAGTACCAAAGGCATTTTTACTGCTGGTAAGAACTTTAGGAAATCCATATGGCGGCGACTGGATTGTGGCTCCGTGGGCGATTGCTGGCCTAGCATGCATAAGACTGCAGACTTGATCCCCAGAACCCTACAGAAAAAGAAAGGAGAGAAAAGCCATAATTCACACACCGGCTGGGTTGAGTGGCCTTAGTGCTCCTGGTTAAAACCAAAATCCGACTAACTTTCCCTGTGTATTGGTGAAAGGCTGAACTCTGAGTGTCACACACTGAGATGTTTAGTAACATAAAAACAGGCCCAGGAGCAGTGTCATCTGGTAGCCCAAAAAAGCCACACCAGTTGAGGTGCTGTCAAATGTCTCGACAGCTCCTTCCTGGCAGGGCTTCGTTCCTTATGATTTTATATTTATCGCAGTTCCACATACAGAACATTGTAAAACAGCAGTCCCCTGCACTCCCGCCCCTTCTTCCCCCTCTTCAGAGACAACTAATTCCAGGTCTCTTGAGTTATTTTTGTTTTTATTGCCATTTCTGAGAATAATGAGTTTCTCTTGCTCCTTCAGTGTTTATCTTCAGGTCCAATCTATTGGTGTCTCACTATGGGGGATCAGAATTCGACTCCTGCATCCACCCTCACCATGCTTACCCTCTTGGTTGTCTCCATCCTAAAATACTTGTAGTTTCGCCAAGTCAGCATTTAGCATTTAACTTTTTTCCATGGGGGTAAATGGGTACTAGGGATCAAACCAAGGGGCACTTTACCACTGAGCCACATCCCCAACCCTTTTTATTTCTTATTTTGATACAAGGTCTCACTGAGTTGCTTAGGGCATCCTTAAATTGCCCAGGCTGACCTTGACCTCACATCCTCCTGCCTCAGCCTCCTGAGAGCAGGAATTACAGATGTGCCCACCACACCCAGCTGGCATTTAACATTGTTATGAGCTACGTGATATCTTTTCCTCCCCTGCAGTGGAGAGTGTCTCCACCTGTTCTTTTGTCTTTTGTGGGAATTCAGTGTCACTGTGTCTCATGTCTTTCACTTTGTTAGTGTACGTACCCATTTTGGTGAAGCACACGATCCAGTGATTTCCTGAGAAAGGGTGCATAGGATACAAAGTTGGGGGCTATGCATGGCTAAAAATTTCTTTGTCTACCCTCACACACGATTAATACTTAAGTTGGGTATCAATTAAAAATCATCTCTCTTTAGAATTAGAAACTCTAGTCTTTAGAATTCTGAGATCATTGCTGCCGTATCTTCTCACTTCAAGACACTGTTGAAGTGCAAAGCCATTGATTCTTAATCCTTGACGTGTGTATGTTCTTTCTGGAAGACCATTAGGTCTTCATTTTTTTCCCAAGGCTTTTAAATCTCTCAGTGATGTGCTTTGATATAACTCTGTTTTTGTCAGTTTGGAAACTTCAGAATATAAGAAAAAATTCTTTCATTCTTTCTATGATTTTCTCCCATCTGTTTTATTCTCTTTCTAGAACTCCTTTTCTTCAGGTATTGGACTCCCAGACTAGTACTTGAATTTTCTTTTTTGCAATCGTGGGGACTGAACCCAGGGGCACTCTACCACTGAGCCACATCCCCAGCTCTTTTTATTTATCTTTTTTTTTTTTTTTTTTTTTTTAGAGACAAGGCCTTGCTAAGTTGCTGAGGCTGGCCTGGAACTTGTGGTCCTCCTGCCTCAGCCTCACGAGCTGCTGAGGTCACAGGTGTGCGTCATTGCGCCCAGCAGAGTTTTCTTTCTTTTGTCTCCTGTGTGTTACCTCTTTGCTTTTTTGCTAATTTCTGGGGAGATTTTCTCAACTTTAGTTTCCAATCTTTCTGTTAAGTTTTTGTTCTGTCTTTTTGTTTTGTGTGTGTGGTGCTGGGATGGAACCTGGGCGTCCCACATGCCAGACAAACGCCCTACCACTGAGCCACATCCCCAGCCCTCACATTTTTCACTTCCAGCTCTTTTTTTATTCTCTGAATGTTCCCTTTTATTGTTATTGTTGTTGTTTTTTGTTTACATCCTGTTCTTGTGTTATGGCCTTAAACATTTGAACATATCCTTAGATATTGCCATGTTTTCCCTCCAAAGTGACCATATTGATTCATAGTCCCACAAGCACTGTGTGAGAACTTGCTCTTCTCCCCATTCTTCCCAACGAACGATTGGCTTTCCTTCTTCAGTCTTTCTTCATCTTGACTGTTGATCACCTCTCACGTGCTAGCTACTCCGGATATAGAAGCAAACACAGCACTGTCCTGCCTTCTAGGGCCTCGGAATCTAGAGGATACAGATGTATTAATAGAAACTGGTAATCTTGGGTGCAAATGTGACTGAAGTAGCCCCAGAAAGGGCTCCCTGCATTTGTGATCTCCTGGGCACTGGTTGGTCTTTCAGTGTCTTCCAGCCCAGCTGCCTGGGTGCCCATTCAACATTTGGGCCTCAGGATATAGCATCGCCTTCCTGAACTTCTAGAAAGATTCGGTACCATTTATGCTTAATGTATTGAAGTAAGGATCTTCCTACCACTTGGGGGTGCAAAACTTTGCAATTCAAATTAAGATAATCATTTAATCTATGTTCTTGCTAGTTTATCCTGGCAAGACTACAGGTGAGGTGCTTTTGTTTGCTTGAGTGATTCAGGCTGTTAATTAAGGCTTTGCATGATCGCCACTCCCTTGCCATGATCCTTCTCGAGTGAGGCTTGACGATTTGTTTTCTTGATCTTGGCTTTCTATGCTATAAGGAATATTAGAATTATTATTATTATGTTTTTTAGTTGTGTCAATAGTGTGGTTATGGGGTTTTAAAAGACCATTTTCTTCCAGAGATAACATACTAAAATATCTGTGGATAAAATGTCACAGTGCCTGGCACTGGCCTCAAAATAAAGCATGATAAAGAGAAGTGAATGAAGACTGAATGACACAAGATTAGCCTTGAGCCGATATGTTGTTGTAGTGAGTGGGGAAATGTGGAGATCTGTCATACTATTCTGTGTGGTGGTTTTTGTTTGGAGTTTTTTGTTTTCTTGGTGTATTTGTTTGGTACTGGGGATTGAACCCAGGAATGCTTAGCCACTGAGCCACATTCCCAGCCCTTTTTATTTTTTATTTTGAGACAGGGTCTCACTAAGTTGCTGAGGCTAGCCTCAAACTTGAAATCCTCCTGCCTCAGCTTCCTGAGTTGCTGAGGTTACAGGCATGTGCCACCATTACAGGCTCTGGGTTTTTTTTTTTTTTTTTTTTTTTTTTTTTCAGTAAGCTTGATTTTTTTCTCTGATAAAAGATTTCAAAAGTTCCATCATCATCATGATCTCTTGATACCTCCAGCCTGGAATGAGACTGATCCAGCCTCTTTTGCTTATTCTTTCTCTTTGCCAGCAGGGGGCAGTGGGTCGCAGAGCCTGCAGCCCAGATTCCCTGGTGTCCCCTGGGGGTGTGGATGCTGCTTCCCCTGAGCACTTATTTGCTTCTCTTTCACTTCTAAGGATGCCACATTGCACCGTGGAAGTAGAGCAACAGAGAGTATGTAACCTGGCTCTGAGGCTGCAGAAACTGGAGAATGGCGAACACCTCTTCAAATTCTGTGGGTCTCCCTACGTTGCACTGTGGTTTCTGTTTATGGCAGTCGTGGGCTATGATGAGGTGCCGAGTGCAATGCCAGGGACAGGGGCTGGTGAGCCCCAGAGGCTAGCATTCACATCATGACCTCTGTGACTTGAGCCACTTGCTTAATTTTTGTGATTTCTAATTTCACAGAAATAATTATGCCTGTCTTACTAGGTTGTGAAAATCTCTTCTTAAGACGTTAAGGTAGTTAGTCCCCATCTTCCCTCCCTGTGCAGCCTTCTACTCCTACAGGGGTAGAAAGGAAGATTTCGTCTTCCCCTTAGCTAGAATTCCGCTAAGTCTGGGGAGACAGCTAACCAAAGGGGCTAAGCTTGGGGTCAGAAGACATTAGTTTGAGGTTCTAGTTGTTTGTTTCTTCATTGTTTAACCTTGGTATGTTAATGATCCTGTCTCCTGTGAAACAGAGATACCAATACCCACCTCACAGGGAGTTCTGAGGCCTAAAAAGGCGTCTAGTGTGTCACCCAGTACCAGGTGGGTGCTATATAAATGTCACTCTTCCTAGAAAGAAATGGAAATCAGACATCTGTAACCAGCTGAGAGGATTGTGCATCTAGTATATTCTGTTAGAGGACATGGTAGTGTATTCTCATATAGTCTGACACTCTCTCACAGTTCTTTTGAAATTTCCTGAACATTGGATACACCCATGTTCAAGTGTGAGAACAGAAATGCTTCCAAAGCTAAGCACTGCTGGGTTTTTTTCCCTTTTTCCTGGGAGTTTCTTGTTTAGAAAATAATATCAACTTCTCCTAGACCAGGCTGTTAGTAGACTAGTGTCGTTCTCATCAAGGTCACAGGTCAGCAGCTGAAGCCAGTCAGCTCAATACTGTAAAAGACTGTGGCCTCCTCATACCTGCCTCTCTGCCTGTCATGGTGGCAGCAGATGGTGTCACTTCTCAATTTGGTGATGAAAAAATACGGGAAGAGAGGGAGAGGAGGGGTAAGACCCAACTCAAGTTTCTGGCTTGGGCGGCAGAGGCTGCTCTCTAAGCTGGAGGAGGCTCTGAGTCTGGTCTCAAAGTCTTGCTTTGTTTTCCATCTGGCTTTGGACAGTCAGACTAACTTCTGGGTCAGATACCTCTTTACCACTTCAGCTTCAAAAGATTCAAGTGAATTAACAAGGCAGGTTTGGTCTTGTTCCTGAAGAGATTCTGGAATGCCTCAGTTGATCCTCTCCAGCCCTTTCCTAAAACACAATAGAATGTCACCATTTTCTCTCTGATTTCTTAAAACTAAAGTGTTTCTTCCAATTTTTTTTTACTTCAAATTTAAACAAAAACGAAAATTTTTTCTTCCAATGCTTTTTTTTTTTCAGTACTATATATTGAACCTTGACACCCTCTCCCACTAAGCTACACCCCTCGCCCTTTTGAATTTATTTTGAGACAGAGTCTTGCTAAATTGCCAAGACTGGCCTGGAACTTGTAACACCTCTGCCTCACACTCCCAGGCACTGGGGTTATAGGTGCACACCACTCACCATGCCGTGCTGAAAGTTCTTAGAAAAAGTTGTACTTTTGCCTCAGGAGAAATTTTCTTTGTAGGTATGTCTGGCTGTGGTTGGAAATTAATGGGAAGAGTGTAGGGGGCTTCCTGATTTGCTCCCTAAAAATCTAAATATAGAATTATAGGAATATAGAGACCGGTCATCCTAGTCATATCTCTGGCTCACAGTGTTTTATGGAAATTTTGTCTGTCATGGACCCTTCTACTTAAGGTCACACAGAGGTCTTCCGTGTTCATTAATTTTGCTGCAGGTCACTGAAGTAGGCTGGACCTCAGCATAAGAGATGCCTCGGGAACCCAATGTTGATGGAGATTTCTGTGTTCTTCCCAGGCAAAACCCCATTCTGCAGCACTAATCCATATCGTAATGGCTAGCCTGAGCATCTCACTGCAGAGGATGGATGCTTCTAAGGGGACATTGCACCATTGTTGAGCAAGAGCATAAGACAGAGCCAAGTTTCTCTCTCACCAGGCTCTCTTCTCTCAGAGACCATCTAAAAGGGTTCTGGGGAGTCATAGAATTCCTAAATCACTACCCTTTTCTCTAGAAAGAAAGCAGAAACAAAGAGCAAGCTTAATTCAGGCTCAGTAGGATCCTGTGGATTGTAAGCTCTGTGAGGTCAGAGACCACCCACCGTCCATGCCAACACCCCCAACAGCTTGCCCAGTATGCACAGCAGCATGAGTGCCCAAGGACTCTCCCGCTTCCCCCCACGGGCACTGCTTCCCAAGGCTCTGCACCAGCCTGACTCTCAATGCCATGGTTCTGTTTTGCTCATTCTGGAGCTTTATGAAAATATGTGCTCTTTTGCATCTTCACTCCTCATTAGTCCACAGAACATCAGGCACACCACGTGGTTGGGAGCGACAGGAGTCCATTCATTCCCATTGCAGCCTTCCCGGTACATCCACCCTACTGTTGATGGACACTTGGGCGGTTTGCAGTCTGGGACTATGACAGTGCAGCTGTGCATGTTTTTGTACTGATCTTCTGGTGAGCATGCGCATGCATTTTGGTCAGGTGTATACTCCAGGAGAATTTCTAGGTCTCAGAGCATGTGAAGGTTCAGTGTTAATAAATAACAAATAGTTGTCCAGCTTTACAGTCCCACTAGCAGAGTTCCTGTTGCAGCACCCGCTGGCCAGAACTTGATAGTGTATGTTCTTTCCAGTAAGTAGGTATTGGTACCGTCTTGGGGTTTAATTTACATTTTTCTGATGACGAAGCAAGTTGAGCATTTTTTTTTTATGTATATATATTTTACTTGTAGGAGGAACACAATACCTTTATTTATTTATTGTTATGTGGTGCTGAGGATCAAACCTAGTGCCGCACATGAGATAGGCAGGTGCTATTCCATTGAGCTATAACCCCAGCCCTTGGCATTTTTTTAATGCTTATTTGGATATCCTCTTTTGAGAAATATCTAGTCTAGTCTTTGGCCCATTTTTCTATTGAGTTGTATGCCTTTTTCTTCCTGAATTTTCTACATAGTCTTTATTAAAAGTCATTTATTTATTTGTTTACTGGTGTTAGAGATTGTACCTAGGGCCTCACATGCCAAATATTTGCCGTACCACCGAGCTACAGCCTACATGTCCAGTATATGTTATATATGTAATGCGAAAATCTCCCACTCTGGGGATTATCACTTCACCCTATTAATGATATCTTTTGGTGAAAAGAAATTCTTAATTTTGCTTACTCTGGTTTATCAACTTTGTTCTTTATGGTTAGCAGGTTTTTTGTGAAATTTTGGTCTATTTCAAATACAGGGAGTTTAAGTCCTCCACTTTTTTTTTTTTTTTTTTTTTTTTTTTTAGAGAGAGAGAGTTTTTTTAAAACATTTATTTTCAGTTTTCGGTGGATACAACATCTTTATTTTACTTTTATGTGGTGCTGAGGATCGAACCCAGCACCCTGCGCATGCCAGGCAAGCACGTTACCGCTGTATCCATTACCGCTATAGCCCTATCCCCAGCCCCAAGTCCTCTACTTTTGTTGAAATTGAAATATTAAGGCAGAAAGTGCCCTTTTTCTAATCTGTTGGGTTTTGACCTTTTGCAAATGTTGGATCCCTTTTCAAATCTGTCTAAACCTCTGAACCCTCTCATGGAAGCACATGTAACACATACATGGTGCACTTCCCTGCAGTTTCAGAGAGTTCTAACTGAGGTCCAAGCTTCCTACGGGCCCTCTTTTAGAACCCCTAACATTTTTCGGAAGAGGTAATTGACCAAAAAGCGAGCATCACCCTGCCACACAGTTTGGCCCAGCCGGGCCTAGAACCCAGGTCTCTGGACTCCTATTCCAGTACTGTTTATAACCCATTTCCCTGCTACAGTCCTTCTGAGAATCTCTGTTTGGCAGAGCCCAGAAGAGAATGTGTTTAGTCGAGGAGGTTTCTGTCCACCAGTAGCAGAAGATGGCTGCATGGTGACGTTCCTCCGCTTTGTGTATTTACCTGAAATGTTTGAGCTCCAAGGAGTCTGTGACTAAGCTTCCTGAAGGTGAGCTGGGAATTATCATGGTCTGTGCATCTGCCTTGAGCCGTGACTCAGCGCCCTGGGGTTGCTGCATTGAACCTCGCAGTGTGCAGCTAACTCCCTGCATTCTGCTCCAGTTCCTGGTTAGTTCTGGCTGTAATTTTAAAAAGTGCCTTATGTAATAAGTTACGGCCTCTGTTCTCAAGTGGGTGAGGTCTACCAGAATGGTTGCTCCAGGGAGAAAATTAAAAAGGGTGGAAGCAGAGAAAGGAGCTGTGAGCTTCTTGTCGGCCTATGTCAGTTCACAAGTAGTCACCCAGTAGACGGACCAGGCCACAGGAGCCAGAGTTGTTAATAACTTTACCTGTACCTGTGGCTTTCTCCCTGTCACTGCCCACAGTAACTCCTTCAAAGGTTCTCAGTGAGCCAGGTACAGCACCGCATGCCTGTAATCCCAGTGACTTGTGAGGCTAAGGCTGGAGGATTGCAAGTTTGAGGCCAGCCTCAAGAACTTAGCAAGACCCTGACTCGAAAAAAAAAATTTTTTTAAAGTGTTTAAAGAGCTGGAGATGTAATTCAAAAATATGTAGGATTCTAAGCAGACTAGGCAGTATACAGGGGGCAGAGCCAGGTATTTTAAAGAGATCACTCAAACCCCAATACCAGGCATGTCTGGAATGAATCCTGTTACCTTGTCAGCATGCTCACAAGCACACTGCTGAGGATGTGCATTCCAGACTCACAGCACGATCATTGTGTACATCTAAGAGTGAAAAAGATTATTGGGTTCTTTGGGCCACACACACCCCGAATGATATCACTCTCCACATGAAAGAAGTCAAGTCCATGGTAACATCCCAGAGTAGGAGCCTATCAGATCTGAGAGACAAATAGCATTCCCACTTATTTTATCCCATTTTATGTGTTTCCCCTGAGCGCCCCCCAGAGCAGCTCTTCTGTCTCATCATGTAGTTATGATTAAGTCATCAAGGGTGCTAGAGGGTCAACTATCTGAATATGGTGCATTTGTTCTTACATTTCAAAAGCATTTATTGAGCACCTACTATGTGCTGCAGGGTGTTGTACTATACAATGGGGATGCAGAAATTTATAGGACAAGGTCCCTGTCCTCAAGGAGCTCACAGTCTAGCCGAGGGACGGGTGAGTCCCTTGACAGGCACTATACAGTGGGGTAAGTGCCACTCGGGAGGTGAGCACAGGTGCATGGGACCATCCTGGCATTTCTTAGAGTAGGAATCCTCAAGCAAGTATCAAGTCTACTAGGCAGAAAGTGGTGGGAACAGCAGTTAGGCAGCATACACAGGGACACAGAAGCAGCAAGCTGAGGTGCTTGGAATATAAGCCTGAGAGAGGGAAGGGGCAAGGATGCCCAATCACGTACGGACATTTTTTTTTTTTTTTTTGTATATATAACTGGGGATTGAACTCAGGGGTGCTTTACTCCTGAGTCTTTTTATTTTAATTTTTATTTTTGGGTGCTGGACATCATTTATGCTAGGCCAACACTGTACCACTGAGCTACATTCCCAGCCCTTATTTTTTACTTTGAGACAGGGTTTCACTAAATTGCTGAGGCTGGCCTTGAACTTGGGATCCTCCTGCCTCCGCTTCACAAGTTGTGGGATTACAGGCATGCACCACTGTGCTGGTTGAATTATAGGCTCTTATCTGTGCCTCTCTCTTTTTTAAGAGACCTACCAAATCCAAAGGCTGCCAGCACACTCATAACTCAAAAATTCACTTATCCCAGGGACTCAGGTTTTGTTGGCATCCATATCACTGTTTCAACAGATAGATACCTAAACCAGAATCACTTCCCCCTTACCAGACACAGTGACCTTTGGTAACCTTTCGCTCTCTGGGCTCCCGGAGCATCCCCGTCTGCCCATTACTGCCCCACTTCTAGACAAGTCTTCGATAGAACATCTCTGAACCTCTCTGCACATCCACCCCACCAGCCTCCATTTTCTTACTCTCTCTTCTTTTCTCTTTCAGGCTTGAAGAATTCAGTGATTTACAGTTCACTAAAACTGCACAAAATGTGGAAAGGATGGCTGAGGAAAACATCCTGATTTTGCTTCCTTTTATAAGTGTTATGTATAGATGAATAAAGTGTTTGATCCTTTTTAACAGAACAGTGTTTGTTACCTTGACCCACTGCGTGAATTTTGAAGAGACTGCTATTTGTCTTCTATTTGATTTTTTTTGAAATGTATTCATCAGATATTTACCCAGGTGGGACTCCAAATATGTAAGAGGGCCGAGCAGCCGAAGAAAAGAACCATGAGTCCTGCATTTTGTAGACATTGGAGAGTCGGAGACACGACAGGTGATGTGTGCCCAGATGGACATGCAGCCCAGGAGGATTGTAGGCTGGGCAGGCGGAGCTTGGCCTGTCTGCTTCTGTCCATAGTCTCCCTCTTGTTTCCTCTGGCTTTGCCAGCAAGAGCTCTGAGTATCATGAGAGGATTTTTCTGGATTAGGCTTTTTATCTTTTTGTTTTCCACGGTGTGTGACAGAGTGACTTTTGGATGAGCAGCCCGAGACAGAATCGTTTAGGCAACAGGACCCCCATGACAGTTACCTGGACTAACAGGATGGACTCATTCATTCTCTCCAGTCTCTTTCCATCTCTCTGCTGTCCGTCCTTCACAGTGTTGGTGTCTTACTAAAGCTGGCTCCCCTCATAGTTGTGAGAATGCTGGCAACCATTTCCAGGGCTGTCGTTTCCCCGTCCCATTTTGGGGAGACAGAAGATTCTTTTTCAGGACTTATCTTAGAAAAGCAAGAAAGAAAACTTTCCATCAGCCCCCAGCAAGCCTCTGTTTGTATTCATGGGCCCTAATTGAGTGACATACTCACTCCTAAGCCATTAAGTGACAGAAGGATGGACCATGCTGACTATCTCAGGCCTGAGCTCCTTGCCCCTCTCCAAGAGGCAGCTTTCCCACAGGCTCTGACTGCGGAGAAGGACTGGACACTTGAATAGAAACTGAGGAGGAAGGGCGTCAAGAAGCAAGCCCGTATCCATCTCATTACATGGATCTGTCCAGTCAAAGCTCAAGATTCTTTTTTTCCTTCACAGCCATGTGACTTTGGATGAGTTATTTAATCTCTCAACAGTTTCACCATCTGGGAAACAGGGATAACGTTACAAGATTTCATGAATTGAGAACTAAGATTTATTCATTCTTTGTCATTTGCTGCCATCATCTTTTGTACCATGGTTTTTGTTATTTTCTTCCTTAAAAAGCTAAAAATGATTTCCCACTGCTAATTGGACAAATAAGAATCTTACCTGCCTTGCCGGGTGCAGTGGCACATGTCTGTAATCCCAGCAGCTTGGGAGGCTAAAGCGGGAGGATCGCAGGTTGAAAGCCAACCTCAACAATTTAGTGAAGCCATGAGCAACTTAGCGAGACCCTGTCTCAAAATACAAAAAGGCTGAGGGATGTGGCTCAGTGGTTAAATACCCTGGGTTCAATCCCAGGTACTCTCCCCAAAAGGAAGAATCTTACCAGCCTCATCCACACCCTCTATAATTGGGCTTTATTTTACTTAAACCTTTGCCCCTGTGTCTGATACAGCTTTTTATATCCCCAAGGTAGATACTTTGCAAAGTTGAGAGTGTCAGAATATCAAATCAATTCTACAGATGTGGAATCTGAGACATCTGGAGAGAAGGCAACTGCCTGGGGTCATAACAGGTGAGTGACGTAGCTGGGACTTGAACCCAGGCTCCCAAGTGTCTGTCCCATGCCTTATCCCACACACCCTGCAGCTCTCATGAGAAATGAACACTCAAGTCTTTGTGTTTCTCTGTCCCCTACAAGCATTCTCGTCTTCCTCTTCCTTGATCCAGTTGAAAGGTACATATTATCTAAGTTGGGAGTTATCCAACTGGTACGTAATGATGAGAGGTGAGAGTCCTGTGAGGAAGATGGAGCCCTTTGGCAAGAAGATAGTGCTTTTTGTTACTGAAGATCCAAGAAAGAAATGTGTTCCCTCTCCAGCTGTGTCCTTGGGCAAGTTGTTTAAAACTTAAGAGCCTCAGTCTCCACATCTATAATGTAGGCATACTCACACCCCTCTGTTAGGGTTGGTGTTAGAATTGTGATAGTTCATAATCCATCTAGTGTGGTTCTTGGTACATAGTTAATATTTCTACAAGTATCATAGCTATTCAATTCAAATGGTGAATTTGGATAGCTAGAGGTAATCCCACATTAATCAGAGTCCTGTTAGGAAGAAAGAAACTACCCTAAGTATATCTAGTAGAAGGAATTTAATATAGGGAAGTAGTTATAAAAATACTGAAGGAGCTAATAAGAGAGAAAGGGGGTGCTAAAGGAGGAAGAGAGTCTGTGTGCAGAGAGCAGGGAGCTGCTTACACCCCTGTGCTAGAGTCTACAGGCCCACACCTAATGCTGTGTTGCTGCCTGTGGTGGTTTAAAAAAACACGTTCTCAAATACTTTGGCCCTCCTTCCATCAGTATGTGGAATTTAATTTTCCTTCCTTGAATATGAGCTGGCCTTAGTGACTTGCTTGTAACAGAATGCAGTAGACAAGATATTATGTGCCTTCTGAAGCTAGATCTCAAGAAAGAACAAAAGATAATAAACTTCATCCTGGTTCTTGGGATGCCTCTTAACATCCTTAACAGCTTCTAAGGCTGCCATGTTGTAAGAAATCCTGGGGCACTCAGCCAGCCAGCTACAGCCTACATCAACTGCCAGGTGAGTGAGTGAGCAAGGCTTTGCCACAACTCCAGCCTCAGCCTCTTTTCTGCAACAGCAGGAGATACCCCAAGCAGGAACCACCTAGCCAAGCCAAATCAGCTCCCCAAAGTCTAAGAAAACAATAATTCTTGAAGTCACTAAGTCTGGGGGAGGTTTGTAGGCAGCCTTAGATAACTGACATAATGCCCCCACCACTGCTGGAGATGCCACTGTCAATCACCAGTGCTTGCTGCTGCTGTTGAGTCGACCCTGGGAACTTCTCTCATCCTCCCACCTGATCTCCTGCCACTGTCTCCAATGGGCAGAACTGAATAGAAGACTGGGGGCTGTGGTTTGCAGGCTCCTACCCCCAGCAGAAGAGAGAGAGTATTAGAAAAATAGGTGTGGAGTGCAGAGACTCCAGATAACTGGCATGGTCCACTCTTGTGGGGACAGCATCCACATGTGCCCTTCACTCATACAAGGACCTCTGCCCAACCGTAGCAATCCGCTGCTTCCACCCATCATGAAGCAGCTCACTTTCACCCAATAGAAAAGGCTCTCACTCTGGCAGGAGAGAGAAAAGTCCCTGAAGTTACTTCATCAATCTCTGTGCAATGGAAACTCCTTTTTTAATTACAATTCCAGCTGGATATTGTATAATCTAGAAACTAACCTATTAAGCCACCCACACTCTATATAGAAAAATAGGTGAACAAAGAGGGTTAAAAATACATACGTGCCTGTGAGAGAGAGAGGGATAGAGTATGTACATCTGCCTTATCAAGCAAGGAAGGAAATACATATCCCTAGCTCATTTTAACATTGATCATGATATACTATTGATGATTATAACATATTTCTTCCATTACCCATCTTGTGTTCCTATTTTCCTTAGCCTGCACTTCAGCTGGGCATTTCCTTACCTGTTAGAATGACCCAAGTCCTCATTACTAAAGAGCTGTCTTTATGGAGTTGCTCCAGGCTTTCGTTGTTTTTTTCCATTGAACATGGCTCCATACCACATATTGGATAGTGAGAATTTGATTCGTTCTTACAGCATTTCTCATATGAACTCATTTATCCCCACAGTAACCCTATAAGACATGGACTATTATTCTAACTTGCCAGCTGCATAATTGAGTCTCAAAGAGCTTAAGAAGTTTCCCCAAAGTCAGCTAGCTAGCTAAATGGTAGAGCCAAGATTCAAATCTGTGTCTTTGAATAGTCTAAATTCAGTCTCAGTACTTCTAACTGCTGTGCAGGGCTGGGGGTGTAGTTCAGAGGTAGAGCACTTGCCTACCATGTGCAAGGCCTGAGGTTCGAGCCCTAGTACTGCAAAAAAAACAAAGAAACCCAAAAAACAGCTGAGCATGCAGTCGGTGCCTAATAAAAACCAATTTTTTTTTTTAAGAGAGAATTTTTTAATATTTATTTTTTAGTTTTCGGCGGACACAACATCTTTGTTTGTATGTGGTGCTGAGGATCGAACCCAGTGCCCCACACATGCCAGGCGAGCGCGCTACCGCTTGAGCCACATCCCCAGCCCCAACCAATTATTATTATTGGTGTTACTTTCATTTGATGCCTATTGGAATTGTAAATCTTTTACTCTCTGCCTTATAAAACAATTAGTTGGCTAAACAATGTCCATCAAAGAAAAGGGTGTCTTTCTGATTTTTAACAATTCCTTAAAACATTGTTTCAGAACTTAAAACTGTTTCATGAAACATCTGATTCCCAAAAGAAAGTGAATTGAGAGTCCTGCAATTACAACATTTTCCTCTATCAGCCAGGTGGGAAAAGCTTTGGATTTGATAACCAAAACTACATAATTGCATCCCAAATTGGCTCTGCCACACATCAGCCCAATGACATTGGGTCTGATCTTGCTGGTGGTTGAGCTTCAGGATGATCAGTCTTTGAGAGATTGGAGGAAAAATATGGCTGAGCAAGGCAATAAATGCAAGCAAGCTCTGCACTACCTGTGCTCACAGTGTGATGTTGGAACTCAAGTGACCTCCAAATGAGAGTCAAAATAGCCGTGCACTCAGCTTCCTTTATTCTCAGTCACATGAGCAGAACTTCTTAGAAATAAGAAGTCCAATGGTTCCCTATGAGTTGCTGAGGGTCTCCACAGCCAGGGGCCTGGATTGAAGTTCTGAATCATGACTTCTTACTCTTTGAAGTACTGGGTGGGTGCTTGGGAATCTTCAGGTCCCATGTCCTAATTGAGCCCTGCCCTTTAGTGCTCCAGAGCTGGTGATCACCTTAACTGCCAAAATACCCACTGTGAGCTACAGGAAGCATAGGACTGAATCTTACCAGACTTGGAAGATGCACATTGACGTAGTTACTGCATGCCACCAAAACACAGCCAGCTATTCTGACCCACAAAAGTATCTATCTCCCAAATTCTAACTGTGGTGAAGAGTGAGTAAAGTTTTATAGGTATAAGCTAGTATTGAAGGATTGTATAAAATAGGGAAAACATTCTAACATTTATGGGAGGCTTTTATATAGCAGGTATGATATATAAACAGCTTCATTTAATCCTTACCCTAATCCTACAACAAAGACTCAGTCCCATTTTTTTTCCCCAACCAAGGAAACATGATTACAAAGGTTAAGTGTTAACTGAAATCTGGCTTTTAAAAAAAATTTTTTTTAAAGAATTTAACCTCTTTTTATACTTATTTGGTGCTGAGGATCAAACCCAGTGCCTCACACATGCTAGACAAGTGCTCTACCACTGAGCCACCACCCCAGCCCAATAACTGGAATTTGAATTCAGTTTTATGTAACTCTCAATTCTCCTCTCAACTTTCCTATTACACCATGCCTTTGGGCCTTGCCTACAAGATATAGACATTTCTCTCCAAATTTCTCTAGATGATCTCTCCTGTGATTATTCTTCATTACTGGCCATGGGGCTAGAGACACCTGGTGGTTTTTCTTTCTCTTTCTTCTCTTCCTTCTGAGATCAAGTGAGGCCATAGAAAATTCCATCCTAGAATGAGCTGCTCTGGAGAGAGGTGGTATATTACATGTCAGAATTGATAGGAAAGTTAAAAATCATTAAAACTCCCTCCTCACTTTCAGGGTGCCGTAAGTCAGTCACAGGTTGTGATTTCCAAGGTCACGTCTATTTGTTGACAGGCTGGACTGAAACCTGAGTCTCTTACTTTCTACTTAATCCCCTCTTTGCTTCAGCCTTGTGTTCTACCCATGCAGCATATGGGTGAATTATAACAGGGTCTCGGGCCTTAGACGGAGGAACAAAATCTCTGGGCTCCCTATTTTTAAAAAATTACAGGATACCTGATCTAAATATAACTGCCACCTCTAACTTGGGTTTCATTGCCCTCCACCCATCTTATATAACTAATAATTGAGCTTCAGAAGAAAGTCTTTCCTTAGAATTCCAGGGTACAGTGGATTACATAGAAACAG